TGGACACTATGCAAATATTGAAAATCATCACATGTGGGAAGTGTGCTTGAAGAGAAAGCAAAATAGGTGCAAAATGTCGCAATTTTACCGTGATTGTGGAAAATATTTACTTATTTTTCGCTGTACCATTGTACACCTTCGTTTTTTCAATGCAAGGTCTCTGATTCTCTTCAGCAGCAGTAGTTGAGTAGAACAGCACTCGATTGTTGTTCGTACCACTCCATAACTGTCTCTAACGCAGAAACGCGTCAGCATTTGCTACTTTCGTCGTTGTTGTCCTCGTCTTCATGCGTTTCATCGTCGACAGGGTCGGATTCTTCTTTCACGGAAGTCACAATCTCGTCATCATGAAATCCACAGTCTTCTGTATTGCATGCCATCCAGGTTTCTACATCAACAAAACTCAACAAAAGAGCACGTATACACCGCCTCACTTCGAAACAAACTGACCTAATAATCTGCGGAAATGTTTACCAAACCACACAACTGAAATTCCCCAAGTATCCCTCACCTTGGGTTTTCCCATCACTTTTGGCCTCACATAAAACAAATCTTGATCATTGCACTGTTCGAAAACGGATCCTGACTTTAGTTCGAATATTTGTCGCTCCGGATAATAAACATTCGGATAAACGACGTTCTACTGTAGTTAATTTTCAAAATTTAAATCAGATTTAATGATAGGTTTGAAATTAAAACTGAACTTTTAACTTCTTGAGTACCATGTAACCACTAGTGGATATATGCTATGTTTAGGGCAAAATTCCATTGTAACCTCATGTGGATAAAAGGCTTATTTAGATGTACAACCAGTGTAACCAACACAGGAAACATTATAAGGTGGATTTTCTTTTATTGGGATTGTATGAAATTACAGAAGATGTTACAAAATGTCTGGGTTACAAAAATTTGAAAAATTACAAATCTTTGTAAAATTGCTCGAAAAGTTCCTTGGAACAACAAGCTTTTCCACATGCGTTTCATAAGTGTATTGTCATTTTTGTTCCATTTCTTCATTTTTCATGACAAATAGATAAATCCGCATAAAATTCACTCTCGTATTCATCGGTTTCTGGCAAATATTCTTATTCAGTATCACTTTCATTGAAATCCAACAACTATGCCATATCGGCAAGAAAAAGTAAAAATAAATAACAAAAATAGTAATTTAAACTTTAGAAAGCGAAACGAAACACGAATGGAATCCTTAGTCGGAGAGAGAGAGAGAATCCAAGGGAAAAATTAATGTACATCGTAGCATCGAGGTCAATATCCCCAGAGATCAGGGATTTCTGGGGATACTAGAAAGGCAGTTTGGTAGTCGAGAGATTAACATTAAATGTAACAACTTATTTGTTACAGATATATGTGTGCAACGTTTATAAACATACAGCCTCACGTATTAATTATTATTCTTAACATGTATGTTTCCTCTTGAATTATATGCGTAAAAAAATAAACGAATGGGGTAATTTAACTTTAATTTAATTGAAATGGTTGTTTGATTTCGTGAATGTAATTGTTTTAAGATAAGCTAATGGGCAATTGCTCCGGGCCTTCATCTCAGGAGTAGGAGGCTCGTCTCATTCTCTAATTGGCTTCAATAAGTAATTTAATTGTCCAAATGGACATTATTCCCGGACATATTCTCCTAAAAAGTGGGAATTGTGAACTATAGACCAACTGGTAACAGTGATAAGACTGCATTATGTCTTGTATGTCGTCCGTGTGCGGCCTTCTGTACTCCATCCTATTTCGAAAGGTGGCAGTTGGTTTGTGCCAAGATTTGTGAGGTTGTGAGTCGAACACATAAATTTGTTACGAGTTACCCTTTTTCCGAACATTTGATACCGTATGTTGTATGCTGTCTTCTTAAAAGGATCAGAGTTGCAGGCAGGGCTTGCTTTTGTCTAGGAGCCCAAAACCTCAAGAAGTCTTAAGACATCACTGTTGACAAAAGTAATAAATTTCATAAAGAAATATGGCTTATCTTATTCGTCGGTTAAACTTAACATAAACAAGTAATTATAGCGAGTGTAAAAGCAGGAGATAAGATAAATATACAAGTATGCAATATATTTAAGATATACGTAATGAACTGAGTTGAAAGTTAGAAGATTTCTCAGAGATAAATCAGTTACTTATTTCTTTTATATGTGTTTCCCCCTATGTACTTGAATAGTTAAAACAAAATAATTTCATCATCGAATGATGTGGCAAATAGTCTTAATGAAAACAATACAATATTAATAACATGCGGCTGGAAATACAGAAATAAATGGTGATTCTATTGTATTATTCATCATTATGCTATGCGAAGGAGATACCTCCCGTTTGATAAAGTAGAAAAATACGATAACAATCTACTTTCTTGAATCATTTACATCTGTTCTTATCTTAATGACTTTACAATATAGCAATTAAAAGTATATCAAAGTTGTAATAACAACTTTTTATTACCTTTATTGTATTTAGTGATACTTTTTCTGATACAAGTACCGTAAAATCCGGCATATAACGCACACTTTTAACACAAAAAATTCAATCGAAATTTACGGGTGTGCATTATACGCCGGATATTAATAAGACAGGTTTAAAAAAAAGAAAGGAGCATAAGAAAATTAGACTTCCACATAGATCCTGATATTAATTATTTAAAAGAAATGATATACCTAATGAACTTAAAGGGTTGAAATTCTAGAAGTATACTGGTTTTTTTTTTTTCAAAATCCTGGAATAATACTCCGAATAAATGACTTCAAAACATAAGAGCAGTGCACAAATACATTTCAGGCACCTCTGCAAAAAAGGGGGTTAGCGTTATACGGCAGATTTTCCTAAAAATTAAAAAATACATCTTAAAAGTATTGGTGCATGTTATACGCCGGATTTTACGGTACATCAAAATGTTACCCAAAATAGTGCAATTGCTTGAAAAATATCTAAAAAAATTATATTTTCTAATTTGTAATTCATAATATACTTTCAACGAAATTGAAATATTTTATAGATTCTGTTTAAAAAATGTTTTGGAAGCACAATGTTTTAAGTGTTGCATTAGGAAAATAATTTTTAATACAAGAGTATGGAATTAAGCATTATCTGCTATGTTTTTTGGATAATGACATATTAATAGTATTCGTCTAGGATTTTGGCAGAATAAATATTTTGCATGTAGGGAAGAGCTTTTTTAATTCATTACCTGGTGGCTTATGTTTGTGAAGGCTTATATTACTTATTTTCAATATATCGAAAAATTATCAAATACCTATAATAAATATTTATACTGCATTTTTATATAAGGCAACAAAGATTCTAAAGTTACATTAATAATTTTCTTATTTACTCTCTCTCGGTGTTTCATGAAAAGTTTTACTTAATGAGTAACTATTACATTTTATAAAATGAAGTATAATAATGTGAATAAACTATATAATTCGTAATATTAACGATATATTAAACCTTTTACGTGTTCTACAAGCAAATTTCAATGTCTGTGTAAACTTGTTTTCTGATGTTAATCCAGAAATACAAATCATGAGGGAATTTCCTTAATGAGTTTTATTTTTCCCTACCTTTCGGATTATACCTTTCCTCTTCTGCGTTTAGGAAATCCGGTTACCTAAACAGAGGAACAGTAAGAATTTCAATCAATTAGCGATGTACCCATGGTAGTGAAACTTGCCTCTGAATCATCAACTGAGTTTTTATGGAAATACCTTGAAGCTTACCGATCCGCCATGTTTACGACTTTTATACGAGATCAAATTGTAAAAGATTAACTAGAGCTTACTCACATCAATCGTAATACAAGTATTTCGCATGAGTAAAGTTTACTCATCATTAACAGCACAAAATTTGATAAAGAGTATGAATCATTTTGTAACAGTGAAACTTTGTATAAGGTAATTTGGCGGAGGACACAAGTTGGGGGGGGGAGGAAGCAAGCCTGTTAATAGTACCCATATGTGTCGATAAATAGCAATACTGAGCAACTCATGTGAAAAGTCTAATCCAACATTGAGTGTAGCTTGTGAATTTATCTGAATTAATCGTCTTTAATTGCAGTTATTTTTCAATCCGGTGAGCATTTAAGGTGGTGAGTACAACTTTTATAATAGTCCGTTTCTCATATTTAAAGCTAATAAACATACTTGTTATTTTAAATATGATAAAGCGATACAAGTGAGTTACGCATTACGTTACACATGCGATGCGTGTAGAAGCGGCCATACTGCAGCAATAAGAAAATAAGCGTGTGTGGCATCTTATCACTATACTTGGGTGATACTATACCCAAAACTTCAGAAATAAATTAAATGAACTTAATTTTTTTTTATTTTATAACACTATATATTATCGTACAAAGTATATATACATTTGATAATTATTATTATAATTAATAATAATTCAATGCAATTAATGATAAAAATAAAAATTATTGTAAAAACCAATCATAATTAAAATTAATTGAAAATTAATAATTTGAATAAAAATAAATTAAAAATTAAAATTAATAAAAAAAATAATAAAAAATAATATATTATTATTTTTATTAATAAATAATTATTATTATTAACAAAATAATACTGTCTCGCAGGCAATGACAACTTCCATTCCTTCCCTGCGGGAAGGACACGACAACAACAACAACAACAAAATAATATTAATAGCAAGAAACACCTTCGAAAAAACAGAAGTACAAGTAATATAAAAAATATTTTTAAGTTAATTCCTAATTAGGTTAACAAAGAAAATTTTCATTCTAGTTACTTTTTATTAAATAGTTACAATGAACATAAATATGTATATACATATGACAGAATTACAATATTAAGTGACAAAATAGAAAGCGATTTTCATTGCAATTTTTATATTTTCCTTTCTATATATGGTGTTGGATTTTTTTTTGTTTGTTACTATTTATTCATTAATTAAATTTCATTATTCTAATAATGAAATACTAGAGTAAAAAAGAAATCACATTCTCAAAACTAGGCCATCCCAGGTGGGACTCTAACCCACGACCTTTGCATTAGAAGTTCAACGTGCTATCCATTGCGCTACAGGAACACAACGAAGGATTTTCCTTTCTATGAATACTGTTGGACTATTATTTTTGTTTGTTACTATTTATTCATTTTTTAAACTTAATTAATGAATTAATATTTGAAAAAACTGTATTAAAATCAAGCGATCTACCACAAGTTTAAAAAAAGTGTATTTCAACTTGAATGGGTGAATAGAAAGTATTTTATTAACGATTGAAAATTTGAACAAGATATATATATATGTAAAGACGTGGCCGGTGGCAGCGATTCCTTAATATGATCACTATGTTTGATGGCATTGACAAGGCAGTCTTTTGAAATAGTAAATACAGTTTATTGAACATTTAACATTAGCGATTCAACATAACAAGAAGCAGATAAGAAGACACAAAACACAAACCAAGCTGCAGCCGATTACATGACGAAAGACAAAAACAAAAGAGAGGGCGGTCTCCAGGAATCTCGGTGTACATATAGGCAGCTCAAATCACGTGATCTGAGTGGGTGGATAGATGTAGTTCAAAATACTCTCGTTAGGCAGCTGGCTAACTTATTATTAAAGGTGGGTCCTGATGGGATGGACCATAGGTAATTAAAAGTTATTAAGGAATAAATTAATGGGGATTATATATATATATATATAGAGAGAGAGAGAGAGAGAGTGAACTAATTGTAGGAATTTAAAAAGAGAGGTGTCAGCTTGTCATTCTCAAGTGAAGAAATTCCTCTAGATACTAGTGATGATAGTTTTGATGAGGATAATAATGACGATTTTTGTGCTGTGTGTAAAGGGTATTTTTATGCTAAAAAAGGTCCCAAGTGTGACTGAATTCAGGGCTTCGAATGCGACAAATGGTTGCACGAAGATTGCAATATAACGCTCATTGCCACATTTCATAACTCTAGCTCTTTATATCCGCATCGTCGAATCAGTCCGATTCAAGCTTTTTTTATCATCTTCCTCTTCATCGTGTCCTGTAATTTCAACAGAGTTTTTTTTTTAAATTTAATGCTAAAGAATCTGTCAAATGTACCTGGGTGTGTTTTTTCTTATAAATATTTAGTACATGCAAAGAATGTTAAAAAGTACTAAAACATTTGTTTCACTTTAACAAAAATAACCTTGACTTTTTATCATAAAAAAACTCAAATACCTTAACTTCATTTGTGGCAGTACTTAATTTATTTTTGCCGTTATATATATATGAAGAGAACATCTTTTCCTTTTGGGTAGATTTTGAAATTCTGAAAAAGCAATTTATTTCCCGATCTACTCTAATAATTATATTTGAAAGTTAACTATTACGCTAGTGCTAGCGCAAAATCTTAATTTTCAAAATTTGCTTGAAAAATTTAAATATAGTACATTCATTAACGTTTAGTTCTGAAATATACATAAAACATTTAGTGTGATTTTTTTTTACATCATGCTACGTTTTTGGTACTTTAAAATAAAAAGCAATTATTGTAAGTAATTAGAGAAAATTTCAAATTTTCTTTATGTCTCACATAATTTTACAATAAAAATATAATTTATATACTTAGTATATAAGTATATACTATTGCGAGTAATTAATAATATTGTGTTACGTGCATCGCTTAATTACTTGCTTACTTAATTTATTTTTGCCTTCATTTATATATGAAAAGAACATCTTTTCTTTTTTGGGTATATTTTGAAATTCTGAAAAAATAATTTTTCTTTCGATCTACCTTAATAGTTATATTTGAAAGTTATCTATTGCACTATGCTAGCGCAAAATCTTATTTTTCAATACTTACTTAAAAATTTAAATGTAGTAAGTTCATTAACGTTTGTTTCTGAAATATACATAAAACATTTAGTGTGATTTTTTTTACATCATGCTACTTTTTGGTATTTTAAAATGAAAAGCAATTATTGTAAGCAATTAGAGAAAATTTCAAATTTTCTTTATGCCTTCCAACATAATTTTAAAATAAAAATATAATTTAAATACTTAATACTAGTGTGAGTAATTAATAATATTGTGTTACGTGTTAATTAATATTTACACTTAATCCACGCATAACACTTTTTTAGTAACTCGTAGCTGTAAACAGGTGTATATTCAAGACCAAATAAATTAAAACGTGCTAAAATCAACTTCCAAAATTTATTATATTACCAAAAGATTTCACTTTTCAAGATAACAATTTACATGTGAAACATGTTACTTAAAAAACTTTTTATCACTTAAAAATAAACATTTCCCCAAAACAATAATACGAAGTTCCTCATAGAGGGGAAAAACGTGTATTTTATGTCCCGTGATAAGCGAAAGTGTACAGCAATTGACCCAGCACCGTAAATCTGAAACAACCCCCAAGAGGCTATTCTAAACAAAAATAGTCCATACAACTATTAAAAAGAAGTAAGTGTATCTATCATAAAGGAAGTTAATATTCATCCCACTACGTAATCCTTGTGCTTGAAATCAAAAAGGATCCACGGACAAGGCCGCAGCCAGAGCGTGCGTAGGCTTCCGGTGTAGGTCAAAATCCCTCAGAATCGCCACCAACATCAACATCTATTTATTAGATTCCCTGTGGCTTCTGTGATGTGTCAGTAGGTCAGGCTCAAGTGTGAATTTTGAGCGACTTAACCGTTCTCAGATCGTAACAGCGGCTTCGATTCGTCGGTGGTCTTCAAAGCTCGTGTTAATTGAAATGTAATGGATAGTTTTGTATCATGATAAGGACTTCGGGTTTGTTCAAGAAGCTTTAATAATGGGTATGTGGTCTTTTGGAATCTGTGTAGTAGCTTTATGTGAATTTATCATGCAATTTTGTTTTTGTTGTAGGTGCTTTATTTTAACTTCTAACTAATGTGAAAAATTTCTTACATTTTTCTTAATTTTTAAGTCATGTGCAATTCTATATAAGTTATTTTTTCTCTTGTAATAGTTTTAATTAATTGATGGTTTTTAAAGAGAGATGAGATCCTACCTCAGAGATAAAATAATTTAAGAGTAAATGTATATTTAATCTGTTACAGTTGAGCCATTTTTCATTGTAGTATTCAAACTTTTATATACCTTTTCTTAAATTTCGTATAAATAATTCATAAGTAAAATTTTTCACAGTTCAAACGCTTGTTATTATTGGATCATATTTATAGAAATTTTACACTTAATTCTTTATAAGGTCATGGGAAGTATGCTTATCATCAAATTAATCAATCTAATCTCTCATCATTTCCCCCTATTTAGTTTACAAATATTATTGCATATTACAAACTTTTTTTATTTGAAAGCATATTTTATACGTTTGAGGTAATTACTACATGCTAATCCTTGTCCTAAATTTCATGAAAACTCTGAAATGTATATATAAATTTTTAATTTCATCACATCATGTCTGAATATAAATTTGATATACTTGGCGATTTCTTTTCTCAGATTATAGTATTAACAAAATATGCTATAAATTTCATGTAGAGAAATGTAAAGGTATGAAATTTTCTGCCTTTCAACAGTGTGCGGTGGAAGATGGCAAACATATTTTTGACCAAAAAAGGCCTTAAAAATCAAATTAACTTTATTTAATAAGCTAAATAAATTTCTTTCCTCAAATCAACCTCAATCTCAAAAAACTTTTTAACGTACCATCTTTTTAGAAAATAAGGCCCTGAAAAGAAGTTCAAGTTTTGTAATATGTTTTGGTTTATCTTCTACATTATGCAATAGAGGGAAAACGCTTATTTGTGAAACATTTCCAAATTTTGAAAACACAATACAATAAACAAGCGTATAAATTAGAGCATTGCGAACTTTCATGAGAACTGATATCTTTCTCAGTCTTAAAATTTGTTACATTTAGTGATATTTTTTTTTTATTTTTAGCTAGAATAATCTATAAATCTTGTAACAAATTTGTCCAATTACTAACTGACACAGCATTGCGGATGTCTCAAGTAATGAAGACTGATTTGTAATTCACATACCTCTATTTGAATTATATTTCAGATGTATTTATATACCTGAATAACTTCGAATGACCTTCATTATATACAAAAATGCATTTGACTCCCTCCACCGCCAAAATTGCTTTATTAACCTTAGAGCTAATTCTAAGAACATTAAAAAACGAATCCTTCATAATCTAAAACATGATTTTGCTCCTCAAATTTTGACAGTCCTTAACACCCTCATTTACAATATGTGTCTTTAATAGTTGCCGTTAATTTAAATAGGTGCGTGCATACGATGATGGATGAAGTAAATAATGAATTATTAGCGTGATACTATTCTATAATAGGACTTTTCTTCAAGGAAAGCGCATCAGAATGGTGGGACAGACTCAGCTGCTTATGGAATAATGAATATTCTGCGAATACTTACGTAATGTGTTTGTAATTAATTTTAAAAGAAAAGTCTTCAAATTACGTTGGTAGGCTTGGCAGCATTTTTAAATATATTTTTCTTTCGTTTTTCTTTTAAAGTTTGTGTTCGTGGAAGGTTAGAGAGGGTTACTAGTGCTCCAGGTCGAGGCGATTAATAAACAATGTGAAATTATAATCAAGAACACCCATGGAGATTTTCTTTATGTTCTAGCTAAGGAGACGTTAGTCAAATCTACTTAGTTATTAAAATTTTAAAATGGAAAAGGGCTGTTGTAAATTCACTTATGTTTTTATTAAAAGAACTTGATAATATTTTGCTCCATGTGAGAGTTATTGTTACGATATTACAAAAAGTTGAAAGAATAATCTACACACAAAAAAAGTAAAATATGAACAAAAAAAGTACTAAAGGATAATTTTTTTTTATAAAAAAAAAAAAGAAAGGATTTAGTTTTAAAATTAATCGACATAAAAAAACTCTGATAAAAGTTTAAAAGGAAAGTATTAACACAAGTTTTTCATAAGAAAAAAACAAGAATGTTAATTTTTTTATTTTTTTATGTTAAAAGAATAGCATACATATTTTTTTAAAAAATGATGGGACAAGAAAAAAAATTATGCTTAACAGTATATTTTTTTCTGAAAAAATAGGAATTAAG